AAAGTAAAAGTAAGTAAGCAAAACTAAAACAGTCGTCACGTGGTCATTCGCGTTTTCCCGCGCTTCAAGTAGTTTTCTAGTTTTCAATTTGAGTCTTCATTGGGTAGTGATATTAATCTTTGTTTTGATCAGTCGCTTTGATAACGTTGGTTTTGGTTTTTCGACACCTTATTGAAAACCGCTCTATCAGTTTTGATTACATGGGTTTTGGTTAAACCACAACGTAATATATAAATACATCGAGAAACACCCCATGATACGATAATACCACTTACCTCAGTTACAACCGAAGTGAAGTCGTCGGCGAAGTCCCAGTCTTGCCGAGGAATATCGCATCTATGTTTGTATCTGTCGTCTCCCAGACTGATGGTGTCAGTAAAGGGGCAAGTCGAGTTGTTTTTGCATTTCCATCCGGGCTCCGATGCAATGAATACCATTGCCATGACTGGAAAAGCCCACCATAATGCATAAGCAATATTGAAATATATGTTGAGCACAATTTGGTAGCGACCAAAGCTTCCAATCCTCTCAAGTACTTCGTCTGTAGTTAGCTTCATTGGAGTGATTGGAATTCTCAGGAGAATCTGCAAAAGAAAATTTGGATTTGATTCAAATCAGTGTACAATTAAGGCATATAGAGCCGGAAAATATGAGAGTTTCTATTTACTCCTCTAAGATAATTTTTTGTTTTAAACAGTTAAATAATGTCAAAATCACCATATGTTCGTATCGTAAAATCGATTCGCTTGCAAGGAACACCGTCTTGAAGAGACCTAACGAGAAGGTTCGGAAACTGGTGCTCAGACCCTTTTCCCGTGTTTTCATCGGCCATTTTTGAATTGCTATGCATGCGGATTACTACTGCACTTTCGGTCTTAGACTGCAGTTTCCTGTTTGCCATTCCCCATTCATATATATTTTACTAAGATCACGCAACAAGTGTCGCAAATAAGTCAGAGGTTTGTTTTCGATCTAAGCCTGTAAATGCAGTTTCATTCAAATAAAGGGTTTCGATGATTTGTTATTTTTTGCGGTGAACAATTTTTCTGGGTGGTGATTATTTTAACCACAACTTTGCGTGACATACCGGTGCATTGAAATACACTCGTCACGGGAACAAAGACTTGGCCGCAGGTCAAATAATGATTGCTTGAAATCAACAACTGACGAGTCGAATCACAAACACAATATTTTGGTTTTAAATTCCGTCCTCATTAAAACAAAATAAAGCGCCAACCCGACGCCAATATCCTAAAAAAAAATGAACGTTCTTGAACTTTCATCAACCGGCCTGACACAAATGAAAACGTCATCCATTGTTTGGACTTTGTGGATGCAACAAAAACACGCCAATGAAATGTTCATGAAGACACGATAGAAAATTTTGCAAGGTATTCCGCATCTAGGGCCATTCAATGCTCGATACAAAGAAAACATGAAAGCTTTTTACAAATTTCGACGAAACTTTGAAGATTTTTAAAACTTCTATGGTATGCAACTCAAACTAAGGTGCATTGTTGCCGCCATGCAATATCTCGTTCATTTAGTGTGCATCACACTGGAGAAACAGAGACTGAGTTATATGGGCGTTTTAAATGGTAGACATCATTATATTATGGTAGAATCATAAATTTCTCTTCTTCAATTTAGCCGCGGTGAGTTTGTTTCAATGAAGGAGCTTACAATCAATAGACACGGCATATTGGTTCCGACTGAATTCGAATAATCCAACCGTGATTTAGCCGGTATCAATGTCGACATCATGGTTTGGTCAATTCGGCTAAGAAATGACTTACATTTTCGGTAAAATTTCCGCACAGCCCCATACTTCATTATGCATTCAGTTCTTGAATAGAGAAAACAAGGACTAAAACAATACATTGCCATTGGGAAAACAGATTTGTTTTACAATAGTATGGGGCTGTGCGGAAATTTTACCACATTTTCGTGCAAAGATTGTTATCGTACCTCTCTCGGGCTTGAATTGAGTAGAAAACGTGCTGTTTCTTTTCCAATCTCGCTGACCTTTGGTCGATTTACACATGTGCTCTATGCAAAATATGTTTGGGCTTTTGAAAAAACGCTAATAAGCAAGGTGTGTTTGTGACATTTGCGTGCCTTCTCAGCCGTTAGTTATTGTCCTTATCTCAATACAATTGTCTCTTCAATAAAGATCAGTCAACCTTTACAATTATGAATAAATTAATATAATGTGGAGTTTTGTGAGTATTAGCTTTGAAAGCTGAATGACTGATTTCAAGGAACATTGAATTAGCCTAGAAATTATTCAAGCCGTGCGTGTTCCTGTGAGAAATTCTTTGCAAGTTTTCCAATGCAGTGAATAGACGTGTCAATTTCAAAAGTAAACATGTTTAGGCTAGACATAACATTACTGGATGTTACTGAAATAAAGAATGGGGAATGGAAATTGAGAAGGGGTACGGATGATATGGAAAAGAGAATAGGAAAGTGGGGGATGGGGATGACAAAAGGAAACCTGGAAATGAAAAAAGGTACTATTGATTGCGTGTGAAACAAAAGCATTAGCTGATGACATTTTGATATCAGGATTGATTCATTTATCTTCTCATATTTATTCGCCCTCATCTGGCGAATAAATGTCACATACACACGGATTTTGACACTCTCGCGCGGCTCGGAATGTTAGGAATACCAGGACAATATCCTAGCATTTCTAGAAAGTACGTACAGTTGAGGCCGCTTATTCATGCAAATTACCACTTGAAATCTGCTAAATTCATTATCTGCTTGGC